TTTTCTACGAAGATTTTCTGGCATAGATTGAATTTTTGTATTAAGCATTTAATAAGAGATTTTTAAAGGCTTTTTGGTCGAGAATAAAAATATTTAAAATGAAAAATACGTTAAGGCAGGGCCATAAAGAACGACAACTCGTAAGATAATAAAAGTAATTAATAATGATAGATAAGGGTAGTTCCTTATTTAATGAGCTTTTTTCTTTTAATATGTAAGGCAATTTTTCAAGCTGCTTTAACTGCCAGATACTCTTTATGTATAAAATGATATAAAAATTAAGTTAAAATTAACCAAAAATGATTTAAATTTATATTAAAACTGAAACTTAAACCAGTTAAATATTATTTTGAGATAAAAAATATATCCAAAGGCATTCTTTAAAAGGCATTTTCTAAAAGAACAAATTTGAAAATTTTCTAAATTCTCCAAATCCTTTTTCCATTTCAACATTATGCCACAAATCCCGCCTTGTCATGCAACAGTTGTTGGGGCATTGAACGCAGCCGGCGAGCTTAATGAGATTCCGTTTCTCCCTTTTGATTGATTGCAGCAAACGATGCTTGACCAATGTCCAGTTTTCAGTACCAAAAACCATTCCATTTTAACCCTCCACAACGCCACCCCCTTTTTTTCCACCCAACTACAACGTCGGCAATTTTTCAAAAAAAAAATTAATTGAGCTTTCGCCCGTTGGCTGTTTTTAAGTAAATAAATCTTTTATTTATGAGTACAGTCTGTCTGGACTTGGTAAAAAGAAGGAACAATTTTCAGGGGGAGTTGATGAATTTCGCTGCAGGCCTTTGTGATTGCCCAAAATGGCAACAAATGATCTGTAAAAATCCGAGTTCGAGTCCGTGTCCAAACCAACCAAAAACCAAATACTGTAAACTTTTAATCAAGAGATACACTTGAGGGGCTTTTCCAAGAGCTTTTACATCTAATTAGAGGGAAGTGAGGTCCCAAAAGGATGGCACGAAGAGTGGGTGAGTGTGGGTTGTTTTGTAGTTAGTGATGGCTTTGCTAGGTTAAGGTACAAGTTGAGTTCACTGGAATAACAAAATGCCAGAGAAAAATCATGGAAAAATATAAGTTTTTAATGAATATTTCAATCTACATTTTAAGCAAAAAATAATATAAAAACTAAAACAATTTTCATTTGATTTTTAATCTTAAAAACAAGATATTTTAGTTCACAATTTCAAAATAAGTTTTCCTCTCAAATTAAGTTAAGTTTTGTTTAAGTTTCCCTACAGCCTAATTTTCCATCTCTATTAAGAGGACTCCCTGCTTAAAAAAGTTGACATTTCACTTCGGTTTCTGTGTGTGACTCTTGGCGAAAGTTTGCCTGCTGTCACGTGACCTTTCTGGGGTTAAGAGTGGGGTTTCCACTAATGTGACTTGAGACGCCCACTCAACTTGAAAGGGGGGAGAGGGGGTTTGGGCTCTTTTGCGGGGTCAAACGAAAAGTAAATACTTGTATTTTTCTATGTAAGTAACTGAAAACCCTTTTTATGGCTTAGGGCCAAGTCCCTTTTGCATTAGCCCATATGTGTGGGTGGGCAGAGAGAGAGAGGGAGTGGTCGGAACGTTGTTTATTTTTTGGCTTTCCATGCGAGACATGACTGAACTTGTGCGGATTGATTTGTTTATCCCTTGTATTTTGTTGGCTACAAATGAGTTGGGTTACCCTTTTTTTTTCGTTGGCCCAGAAGAAGGCTTCCTATAATCACAGGCTTGAGCAGTTTCCTCTATAAGAAAAAGGGGTAACAAGAGCCACTCTAATCAGTCTAATTGGAGAGGGAAATCAGCAAAGGAGAAGAGTCCTATCGTAATCCCAAATTAACCGCAATAAAACATTAAAAATGTGCACTGGGAAAATGTGAGTTTTCTTTAAATGTTAGATATTTGTATTTCATACATTGTTTATTTTAATCAAGAATTTCCAAGAAATCTACAGAAATTCAATTAAAGTATACGTTTTCCCAGTATTTAACTTTATGTACACCCTGCTACACCTTAACCCTTTATTAACTGTCATTAAAAACAATTATTTTCTGGAAAACGTAAAGGAGAACGGAGGTAAGAAAGAAGAAGCGTCGGCTAATTCAATTTTACTTTCGCTTATCTAATGAAGTTCATCTGCATTCGGGGTGTTATTTTTAGACTTTATTCCATTTTAATTACATTAAATTACATATTCCAAAAACAGACACGACACCAGAGCAACAACAACAACAACAACAACAAAATCACTTTCTAACAAAGGAGTGAGAAAACAGCAGAGCCTGAAAGATAGGTAGAAAGAGTGAGATAGACAGAGCAAAACGTCAAAGTTCGTTCACTTGTAAACATAAAATGAGCGGCAACTGCAAAACAGCAGCATTACCAACAACAAGCGGCGAACGGAAACCGACTGAGCAGCAACAACAATGAAAGCAGAAGCCAAGACATATATGCACAGAGAGAAAAGAGAAATATTGTGAAAAAAAAAATAAAACATAATTTTTTAACATTACTTTACTTTACTTAAATAAGTAATTTAAGTGTTATTAAAATGTAAAATTAATATTTTTATAACAGTTAAATTTATCAATACTTTTTTTTTCAGTGTTTGTAATGTGTTGAGTGAGGAGAAGAGAGTGACGGAGAAGAAAAAAACCTTTTTATGCGGCGCAACTTTGGCGCTTTTTATTAAACAAGCCGACGAAGTGTAGAAGCAAAGAATAAGCAAAAATAGATGGGGGACCAAGAGCATAAGGTGAAGGAGCCAAGAAGAGAGCAATGAAAAAAGAGCATAGAATGAACATTGCCGGCTAAACCGGTAACACTTGTTTATAAAAGAGAGACAGCGATTGCGAGAGGGGCTGCTGCAAGAGATATATGTATGTATGTTAAGTAGAGTGGGAAAGAGTTAGCCTGACCGGAGGAATAGGGTTCTACAGGTGACAAAGACGAAAGACAAAAGATTGAAGACTCCTCTAATGTCATCATTATTGTCAATCAGAGAACGGCAAGGGTACACCCATACAATGAGTGCACTCGAATCATATGTGCCTTTTCGGGACTCAGAGTGTGATCGGCACCCTAAAATAAGGGTGAGTGTCTTGCACAGCACATTTTGAATGTGCACAAATCGGATTGTGCGTTATGAGTGTTTGCGTTTTTGACACCCGGTCAATTTTAGGCACATGAGTCTAATGCACAGACACCCTAAACACTCATAGCAAATGAAGCGAGTGTCTGAGGCACCCATGATTTTTGGGAAAGTGAGTCGGGTGTCTTGAAAGTGAGTCGAGTGTCTTGAAATGAGTCGAGTGTCTTGAAATGAGTCGGGTGTTTCGGGTGTCTTCAGCTGTATTGCATGAGCAGGTCATTGAGGGTTGACCGAATAATTTTACATGAAAGGAAAGAAGGAAATCCCAATAATTTAATATTAGAAAAGTATATTTCTAATAATACAAATTATTGCCGTCTTCAGTAACTAATATTAAAAAATAAGAGTTTATAATCATTACAAGTATTTAATGACAAAGTTTAAAAAAACCCAAAAAAAAACGTACATTGCATCAATATTTTAGGATTTTCCGTGTTGTTATCAAACCATCTACCTGCAAATGTATTCCCGTTTTTTGCAGATGCGTATAAGAATACAGATCATAAGTCAATTGCACTGCGAATAGCAGGTAGATGGCCTGACATGGAAAATCCTAAAATATTTGGCTTTTTTTAAGGGGCCATTATTGGGATTTCCTTCCCTTCCTTCAATGACCTGCTCATGCAATACAGCTGAAGACACCCGAAACACACAGATCATTTCAAGACACACGACTCATCTCGAGACACTCGACTCATCTCGAGACACTCGACTCACTTTCAAGACACCCGACTCACTTTCCCAAAAATCATGGGTGTCTCAGACACTCGCTTCATTTGCTATGAGTGTTTAGGGTGTCTGTGCATTAGACTCATGTGCCTAAAATTGAGCGGGTGTCAAAAACGCAAACACCCTAAACGCACAAAGCGATCTGTGCACTCCGGGTGTGTGCTCTTTTCTTGCTGTTCATGAGTGCGACACACACTCGAAATGTATGAGTGTGATTCGGGTGCCGAAAAAAGACACCCTTGACGTTCTCTGTTGTCAATATAACAAGTTTATTGACTGCCAGCAGATGCTTAACCCCTCAACAATCCCCCACTCTCTACAAGCACACACCCAGGGGTCATTAGAGAAATTCCCGGCATAAGTTCTCTTAACTCAAGCTAAAGCCCAGATTAAACGCAAGTTAATGACTTAATTAACTGTCCAGCAAAAAGCAAGCAAATAAAACCAACTTTGATAAAGATAAATGATAAATGCAAGTGCGCAGAGAAATGGTTGGCGATAAAAATTGTCGCAGAAAATCAAGGAAATTAACGCGTGCAAATATGTGTACGTATTTCCACAGAGAAAGAAGGAAAACTAATAGAGAGGGAGAATAGCAATCATAGATATATTCCAGTCGAGGGCTAATGTCTTCTAACGGCACTTGCAGCAGTTGAAGAAAACTTAAAGCTATGAAAGACAATGGAAAATATAACGGTCTTCGATGGATTGATAAGAAAAAAAGATTGGAAGGTGCGGTGACCTAAGAAATCATAAAAAAATATGATTTTTTAAAAACAAGAAAAGTAAAAATTAAATTGCGTATCCCAAATATATTTAAGATTACTGTATACTGAAAAATAATCAACTTAAAAATCCTCAAAAAAAAAAAAACTCAAATTTACCACCAAAATATCGACCCCACTTCCGTTTTCCATTCCCTATTAGCCCTATCAATAGCATAATCATCCTAAATTCTAATTAACTTAATCGTTACACATTTAGTAGCTTGTTGATGTTTCTTTTTTTTTCTTTTTTGGTTTTCGGCTAATCAACAGGAGGCCAAGAAATTGAGCAAAGATAGAGTGCGAGTGGGACAGCATCCAAACAAATGGCATAACAGCCCTGTCTTACGTTTTCTCTCTTTTACGCTCTTTCTCTTCCCCAAACGAGAGTGTCAAATTCAAGGTCGCTCCTAGTACTGGCCCATGCAAGTCATACAGCTGAATAGACTCACACAGCGAAAGAGCACATATTCAGCATGAGAGCGGTAGAGAGAGATTACGAGAGAGCGGCTTTGCAAGAGCGGTGTTTTGGTCAATGCATTACTTGCTCAGCAAGTGTGTTCCTCAGTTTGTCAGCGTATGCCCTGCCATGCGGATGTGCTCGCGGATTTATTTCGTCTCGAACTACGGCTCCGTTTTCGACTTTTGACGTAAAGGCTGTGTGGATAAAAGAAGTGAATTCGGTTACGGTGTTACGGTTATTTTCGCGCGTTTTTTTAACGGTAAAAGTGTTAAATAAAGAGAAAAAATACCCAAGGGGTAAAGGCAAATTAACTGTTTAAATGCCTTAAAACAGAAAGATAAAAAGATTGCAATTAAGAAAAATAAAAATTCGATATTTTGCTTGAAAATAACAAGCAAAACGGGAAAATAAAAAAGTTCTTAAGACTCCGCGAAAGTTATAATTTGACAAAATAATAATTCCATAAAAAGCAAACAAAAGTCAAAATAGTTAAACAAAATAATAGTTTTGCAAATAAGAAAAATAAGTCCAAACAAATTAAAAAGCAAATAAATAAGAGAGAGAGAGAAAGAGAGAAATATTTATTATTTGCTTATAAGGCCAAACTAAATATTTGCCGCCGGCAAATGTTTAAAAGGTGTTAAGTGTTTCGTGGGAGTGAAGTTTCTAAACAGAGAAAAAGTAAATAAAAATAAATATTCTATAGTGCAAAAGTGTGTGTGTGTGAAATAAAAGCAACATGTGTGTGTATTAAAATTGTTCAAAAAAAATCCAAAAAAATACCCCCGAAAAGTTCTTTAACCAGAGTTAACGAAACATCAAAAGATACCAAAATGTGGCGTCAAATCCTGTTTATTTTGCCCACCTTAATACAGGGTGTCCAGCGCTATGATCAGAATCCCCTGGACGCCAGTCCTTATTATCGCAGCGGCGGTGGCTTAATGTCCAGTTCTGGTACCGAATTGGATGGCTTGCCCCATCATAATCGCTGTGAACCCATTACCATTTCGATCTGCAAGAATATACCATATAACATGACCATTATGCCAAATCTTATTGGCCATACAAAACAGGAAGAAGCCGGCCTGGAAGTCCATCAGTTTGCTCCGCTCGTCAAGATTGGCTGCAGCGATGATCTTCAGCTGTTCCTCTGCTCGCTATATGTTCCGGTTTGCACGATTTTGGAAATTCCCATACCACCCTGTCGATCTCTGTGCGAATCGGCCAGAGTCTGTGAAAAGTTAATGAAAACCTACAACTTTAACTGGCCGGAAAATCTGGAGTGCTCCAAGTTTCCAGTCCATGGCGGTGAGCATTTGTGCGTGGCCGAGAATACCACTTCATCGGCCTCAACGGCGGCCACACCCACAAGGAGCGTGGCCAAGGTCACCATTAGGAAACATCAGACTGTCGTGGAAAGTCCACATCGCAATATCGGATTCGTCTGCCCTGTGCAATTGAAAACGCCGCTGGGCATGGGCTATGAGCTTAAAGTTGGCGGAAAGGTGAGTTTTTCCGGTTAGGAAAATTTATAAAATAAGAAGGCTTGAGGAAGTAAAGGATAATAGGAATAATAGAAGGTCATTGGGTTAAGTGGGGAAAATGCAAAGAAAACTTTAATAGAGGTTTAAAATGAAGTAGTAAAAACTGAAATGCTGATATAGAAACTTAGCTAAGTTAGAACTTTAGTTAAAGCTGCTTTTCATTAAGAACTTAAAACTTAAGGAACATATGCTTTAGATATCTTTCTAACAACATATTAAGTGAAAGGTTTTAAGGGGAACTTCGATTAGTTAATATAAACTTAACCGTCGGCTTTTTACTATTGATTAAAAGTGCCTTATGAAGGCAATGACTTTTGTCTATCAAAGAAAAGGTTTCCTGAAAAGGATTTTCAGACAGAAATAATATATTAAACTTCTAAAAAATACTAAAAAATATAAAAAATATAATTTTGAATTTAAGTTAAATTAATATTTTCCCATTCAAAGTTGTAATGTTTGCCTTCTCAGGACTGTAGAATATTTTTCCACCGCAAAACCTGCTCCAAATTCAAATCCAAAATACCTTCCCAACCCTTTTGTTATTATTCCGATTATTCCTGGAACTTAATATGGTATATATTTATTTTTGTTGTATTTTTTTGGCCCCCATGTAGGTCAACGATTTTTTTTTATGTCTTCATTTGAACTCCAGACTCAATTTGTAGAGCAGCGTAGAAGTAGAGGGAGGAAAAAAAATGCATATCCTGTTGCGCCAAGAAAACAATTTCCAACCACCAGGGAAAACAGCAGGAGGTCCTTGGCAGGTCAGGAAAAAATAAAACCAAATATATAAATTTAAGGAGAGGGGGAAAATGAGAAGAAACCCGCATTCTACCTGCACGGTTTCATAGCTCACAAAAAGATGGTTAACAACATGGTCAGGTAGATCGTTTCTTTGGCTTCGTTTGAGAGGAGCTAAAGGTAAACCAGTTCTTTTTCAAAAATTGTGTAATTTGTAATGCCTGCTTAAAAAAAATATCAAAAAAACGTAATAAGAACCAAGAAAAATGTTTAATAACTTGAACTGAGGGTCAGCCTGTTGCATTTTCACGTTCTTTAATTAATTTTCCAACTGTTTCCATCAGCAGATTTTCTTCTTTCTTTTTGGAGGTCTTTAGGTTCCTCACTCTGACTGATTTTCCACAATTTATTTTGTGTTTGTTTTGAATGAGTGATGATGATCAGCATTGCCTTTACGTTTTCCATGTTTTTTCGTTGCTATTTTTAGCCATCTTTCCGTTGTTTGCCAGCTGGCATGTGGAAAGCGCATTAAATACTTTGAGGCAGGATAATTCACACTTCCCTCAGTGTCTGGCGTTGTATCTGGCGGATACATGTGTATCTTTTTAGCTACTTTAGCATTGCGATTCTTTCTGCTTTTTCTCTTGATTGGTCTCGTTTTTCCCTTAGTGTGTGTGTGTCAGTCATCTTGGCCTTCTTATTCCTTTTTTATTCCTTTTTTGCCATCCCCCATATCATCATGGCTGTCAGCATCTTTGGTCTGAGAGAGTCCCAGACATTGAACCCCCGTGCTTAAATGCCTTTTGAGAGCTGCGTGCGAAATTTAGCAGCTTGTTTGCCTGGATTGCATTTGGCCCATATCACGAATCAGTGTCTGTAAGAGAGAGAGTACAAGTATCTGTATCTGTGTATGTGTTTTGGCCCTGTTTGCTGTGCTTTATGAGCCAGATAGGTGTCTCGGTGTCTGCTAATGATAATGCCGTCGTGTGAGAGCGTGAATTAATGTTTATTGGTTAGATAATGATCGGATCATATAAATATAAAAGTAAGTTTTGTTAGAAATTGAAGAAATTTACTGAGCAAGTTTATTAGGGGTTTTAAAGATAAAACTTAGAAGGCTTTTTTAGCTGTAAAATTGCAATTTCAAGGCCATAAATTGTTAATAATTTTAACTTAAAAAGGAAATTTATAAAGAATTTGCAAGTTGTAAGTCTAAAATGAAGTTAAATAATGGAACTTTGTTTATTACAACTTTGTTTTTCCTTCTTTTAAGACTTGAAACAAACAACTTAAACCAACTCCTTTTCTAATTAAGTTAGTTTACTTTGTCATTCTAATTAAACAATCAACATTCATTTGGCAAACCCAAATGAAATCTGTAAATAGCCATTCTAATCCCTAAAACAACATTATCGTTTGACACCTTCAAAATAGCTTAAAATTAGGCCAAAGGAAGCTTCCTTCCATAAAACTTGCCTTTAAGGCAGTTTAAAATATTAAATTCTAATTCCATTTCTCATGTTCTAATTTCTCAATTTTCACAACTTTTCCACCTTTTACCTTTTCTCCTATTTTAGCTTGTCAATCAGACCTTTTTCGTCTAAATTAACCAGTCAGTCAGTCATTCATTCTCTCTTCTTGCCATTTGTACAAACAAAAATTTGTGGCATCTACAAAATATGTAATTTCGCAAATCAATTACCCAAACCAAAGGGCAAAAATATGGCGCCAAAGGATTGGAATGGAATTAGTTGTGGAAATTCTCTCAGTCTTTGCTTTGAAATAATCATAGGCGTAGAAAATCCCCCTTAAGGGCATGACAAAAAACCTCAACCATCTTAACCCTTTTACAGCCTCACTTTTCTTGGCCTTTTCTTGCCTTGGCCCTTTCATTTATTCAGGCAAGGCAAATCTGTTTGCCATCTGAAAAGAAACTGAGTGGAAAGCCAGCGAGCAGTCATAAGAGGGCACAATCAATTACGAATTCGTCGACAATTAAAAGTGGAGTGAAGAAGGGAATATAGAGATTAGATTTAACCCTCCGGATGAATCAATTTAGAGCCTACAAATAATCCCCAAATCGGACTGCTGCCACCACCCCTCTCTAAATGCGTCAAAAGCGTTCTAAATGAGGCTTTTAATGGATTTACGATTTCCTAAACAACCAAACCAAAAACTCAAATCCTTCTACCTTCTCTTTGCCACCAAAACTAAACTGTTGTCCTTTCGCGCTCTTTGATTAATTTATTTTTGCCTGCCATTTGGGGGGTTTCGTTTTGGTATTTACCCATGGGTAGTCGCTTGTTTTTGGCCTGACCCAAAAAGTGGGCGGTTCGTATAAGCCCCGTTGTCTACACATGTAGCCATCAATCGGGCATTGGCCTGGTCGTTGGTAATCTGTTTGCTTTTGAAAAGGTTTTGACGTCATCTAATGGTGTCTATATGGGATGAAGGAATTTGAAACGGAAAAGGGATAATGATGGCCGGAAGTAAATGTGGAAGTTGTTTGGATTGAAGGAGATGTGTTAGGGAGAGGTGTAGAGGGTGAAGAGAGATAAAGCGCTGAAGTGAATGGTGGAAATTAAAACAATTAAGGGATAAACTAGAACTTCTTAGGTGATTATAATATATAAAGAAGGTTTTTTAGGGGATTTTATATTGGTTAAAAGTTAGAGAAAGGTAGATAAGATTAGGTTCATAAAGATCAATAGAAAAGTGTACCTTAAAATCCGGATCTAAAGTTCCTACCCCCTGAAAATCAGTCAAATATTAGGTTGTCAAAAAAGTCTTGCGGTATTTTCGCTAGTTGGCTCTGAAACCGCGTAGTTCTTGTTTTATTCGTCGCATCAGGTCATACTGTACCTTTTTTGAAAGCTCATTTCACGCCCTAACCCGCGTTTGATTGATTGTCTTCTTCTTTTAAGTCGTTCGTGAGTTATAGCGTCGCAATCATGAAGCAAAATAAAGAGAAAATTCGGCATATTTTACAGTACTACTACGATAAAGGCAAAAATGCATCTCAAGCCGCCAATATAATTTGTGCAGTTTATGGACCCGATACAGTTTCCATTTCCACCGCCCAACGATGGTATCAACGTTTTCGTTCTGGTGTAGAGGTGGTCGAAGATGCGCCACGCTCCGAGTTTTTTGCCAATAGGGAAGCGAGCTTCTATGAGAGGGGCATTATGAAGTTGGCATCTCGTTGAGAACGCGTCATCGAACAAAACGGCGCATATTTGACTTGAATCATCAGCAATATTGTAGCCAATTTTATACCGCAAGGCTTTTTTGACTTGGTTAAAAGTTAGAGAAAGGTAGATAAGATTGGGTTGATAAAGATCAATAGAAAAGTGTACCTTCAAATCGTGATCTAAAGTTCCTACTCCTTGAAAATCAGTCTAAATATAATCTATCATCCATCCTGTACTAACTAATCCCTCTTTAAAACCACTCGACTTCACGGTCCAGACCTCTTTTATTCCCTGTCAGTTATGGTCATTATCATTATCAGCAGCTCATCAGCAACAATTCAACGTTAAGCTGTGTGAGATAATCTCTCTGTGGATTTTCCAACACCCAACCCAGTTCTGTTTTTCCTTCGGCTATCTGTGTAATTTATCCCTTAACATGGACCTTAATGTATGTGAAAACAAAACTATGGCTATGGTTTTTTTTTTGTTGTTGTTTTTTTTTGCCATATCTGTTTTTCTCCATTAAAACTATAATCCACTTTATATATATTTCACGCTTGAGCTGTTCAATTTATAACCAATAAACGTTAAGCCGATGACGATTATTTATTTATTTTTACATGGATCGCATTTTAACCCAAAACCCCCAACAACCACCCCCTCCCCCCTCCATGGTGGAGAAATTGCAACAAAAGCGTTTTCAACTCAATTAATTTGCCGCTTGAGGGGGGGAAAAGTGAGGCGGAGAATCTACTTCCGGCTACTTAAGCACAGACAAACACAATGATACACAGGATACAGGACAGGATATATATATATATATATATAGGGCGGGAGCTAGCGTGTCCCTGTTAAATCCATAAAAATGACCCCCAGAATGGGAAAACAATTTTAGCCCCTCGAACGTTGGCTCTTCTCTTGGCCGCCTGCTTGAAAGCGATAAGGACAAACAAGGAAAACGTTTTGTCAAACGTAAGGCCAGGCAATGAATGTCCTGCAGGACATTGTAACTATATCCGATGACAAGAC